GTTGTTGTTGTTGTTACTGCTGCTGCTGCGGGGGTGGTGGTGGTGGTGGTACCAGTCCCAGAGCTAGCATCAGTTCCAAGCAACTTTTTCATCGCTGCAGTAGCCGTAGTAATGATACCACTGTTATAATCATTCCGTTAAGAATATGACGAGCAGACGAACGGCATCATATACGTCCTGGTTAACATCGTAACAACTGTTAATACAGGTTCCCTTCCACATTATCCCTTTATCGAGCGAGTCGGGAATACGTCGTTTGGGCATCTGGGGCCACAGGCTGTTGACCAAGCATGGCTGTAGACAGGAGCTGCTCGGAAGGACCAAAGCTGCCGAGGCCTGTAGATCCTCCTGCCAGGGGATGTCCGTCCAAGCTTAACAGACACAAATTTCGCCGGGACATGCCAGAGAGCTTAAGTCTTGTTGGCAGCTGGATGGCACGAAATGCGAGTTTCAGTTCATTGCCCTGTAAGCATGAACCCTGAACGTCACAACACGACCGCGGTGGAAACACCTACTTGTAGCAACTTCAGCCGCAATTTCACAGCCGGCATGCGCGGCACACCTCAAGATGGCCTGCGATGTGGAACGGTCAGCATGACTCTACTAGTCTGCTGAAGCACGAGGCGTGTCATGCATGTTGAATCAGAGCCCCACAGCGCTGCCCTGCTCACTGCTCCTGGGTCGCCCCTGTGGCAAGCACCTTTGGATAGAGGCCCATCGTGCAACATTGCCAGAAGCCTGGGCAAAAGTCAGACTTGCACCTGGAAAGTGTGCGGGAGTAAGTTCTGAAATCATACACCACATGGGATGTTGCCTAACTAACTTGCCCTTTGCCAAGCGTCTCTTGCCCGCGTTGGCGGCCGACTTCTGGATCAAGGTCCTTGCTTCTCGGCTTATTCCAACGCGGGACATGCCACATCTGGCGAAGCGAAACTTATGTTCAGCAGATTTCAGCAGCCTGGGAGTAAGGCTCAGAACATGCAAGCGGCAGCTGTTGCCAAGCACTCCGATGAAACGGACTCAAGGCCGCGACTCACCGAATCATCTAAGGTTTTCTAGGTTGCTGTCCGGGGCTCCACCAGGCCTCTACCATCATCTGCGTCCTGCAGGATGAGGGCTTGACAAAGCTCGGGTTCTCTAGGATGCCGGTTGCATGTTGTCACTTGGGCCCGAACGCTTGCCCCGAAGCGCTCGCCTGGACCGCATCACAAAAAAGGCTGCCGTGGGCAGAAAACCTTAGCCTTAGTCGCCTTAGTCAACAGAACAAAGTCGGGCCTGGAAAAATCTCGCCAGCCAGGTTGGAACGAACATGGCCTGGGAAATGTCAGACAAGGGAAGCTTCCCGCAATCAACAAGTCAACAAACTACTCGGGGTGTTCGAAACTGCACAGAGGTGAATTCATCACAGAGGCTGTTCCAGTCGTCATCTCCACAACTGCTGCCAGCACTGCTCTTCTGCGTGGCCTGGCCGGGGCGACGGCTCGCAGAGAGGCCCAGGCGCTTGGAATTCGAGGGCATCGGGCCGAACGTGAGAGGACCCACACACGAGAATCGACACACACGGGGACACTGCCTGTCACCGAGTGGGAAGGGTGGTTATGCTACAGTCAAGCCAAGCTTCGGTGTATTCAGTGGTATCTGCATCGTCGTCCGCCTCTTTGTAGTAGGCCTGCAATGGTCATTAGGTGGGCAAAGCTTAAACCTCTGGCTGCTCTGCTTTGAGGCGGCGACGGGCCAAAGTCCGCACGGGCTAGGGGCAGATGGCTTCCAGGCATCCATCATCGGTCTCGGATGCTATCCACTTCAGACGCTTGAAAGAGTTCCAAGGGTTCAAACATCGTCTTTGACGGCTGGTTCGAGGTGCCGAGGTGTCTTGAGGATTCTTGAGGTAATGTGTGACGGACTCGCTACATGCACTGACCACGTGCTGACATCATACAAGCTGTGGAGGCAAAGCAGCAGTTCCCCCGAACCGATTACAGCTGGGTCTCATGTTGTCGCCGCCCTGGAACATCCCATTGGCAGGCCCGAGCTGTAGCCTCAGAAGAACAGGCAGGGCATTCAACAATACGAGCACTGATCCCTGGTGCTGAGCGCGACACGGGGGGAATATCAGCTTCGGTTGTTGTACCATCAAAGGTCCTGATACAAGCCGCCGGCACGACTTGCGAAAAACCCGCAAAAACACCGTAAATGCACGGCTCTAGCCTCCATGGTCTCCATACTTCATGCTACAGCTCATTCTACCGATTGCCTTCTTCGCCCCAATCGTTGCAAGAAGAGCTCCACATGGCTTCAACGGCTGACAGGTCCTGGGTATCAGGATAAAAGGCAGCTCGAGCTCGGGGCGGATTGGAGTAGTGCAGCCAAGTATCAATTTGCACCAGGCGTCCGGTTGTCAAGTGGCTCGAGCCGACACCACGCCGAGTGGAGAGGAAGGTTTCAGACGGGCAGAAAAAGGTGTTAGAGCAAGATACACACGCGCTGACAAGAGCTGACTGTTGTAAACTTTGCCCGGCGACGTCCACCTACGGAGCACAAACAGCCCCTTCTGTGAGAAGTATTAAGCACTTGCTGGTTCTGCAATGAGCTCTGGGCTCCAGAGATCGGCTTACATGTCAAGTGGTGCTTCACTGTTCACTGCAGGTGTCAGCGAAGAGCCCAGAAGAAACCGAAACTAAATCCTACAGGAAGAGATCATGCCATGATCTGGACAAAGAGGCACGGATCAGATCCCGCACGGAGGCATGTAAACATGTCGCGACTGAGAACTCCCGTTCAGAGTCCAGGCACACTTTACTTATTGATTCTTGCTCTTATCAACGATGTGCCCCGTCAGCTCTCTGATGGTCGGATAGTCGAACCTGCACTCTGCTTGGTAGTCTGTGCCCAGCCACCGACCATGACAGCAATGCGATCCACCAAAGGGTTCCTACTGAGGCCCGAGCGTGAGCGTTGAGGAAAGTCCGAGCCTGTCTCGCCACTGTGCAGACTTGACGAACCATCCCTCCCCGCTGCCCCGGCCCTACCCAAATCGAAACCAAGGAGCCCAGAAAAGGCTTGGTTGACCTGGCTCCTGAACTCGATGCTCATCAAGCTGTCCTTATTTAGCTCTGGTGCCGCTGCTGTTCACTCTCTTGCCCGCTTGGCAGTCGGACCAGCATCGTCATTCGTAATTCCCACAAGACGTCTAAGGGAAGGGCTACCCCAGCGTCCATCAAGGGAGTATCAGATTCCTGCCCGCGACAGCCCACAAAGCAAACGTAGAAGCTTGTGTAGGAAGACTCTTTGGCAGGAAGCGGTCCATGTCTGAGCCCATCATTTCACGGAGCATGTTGTGCAACATGTCGCTGACGATGGCTGGCTCCAGGCCTGACTCGACGTCTTGGTGACCGGAGAATGCCTAAAAAAGAGCGTCGCGGCCGCTGAGGCAGCATCCCTTCGGCTTCTCCTCCTCTATGCGGGACTCAGCTGGCCTCATGCCCAAGTGAGCCACAGGTAGCCCAGTTCTGTGGGGCGGCCTAAGGTCCTACTGAGGCACCCACACCTCCTGAATTTCCTCTTCTTCCTGACGTAAGACTTGCAGGGCAGGAGAATTGCCTTCTTGCCAGACAATGGCCTGGCCTCTTCCTGGACGTACCTGGGCTGACTGACCTGGGTCGGCTGGACGCCCATGTGCTGGCCTGGCACAGATCGTCCGAAATGCCACCACCACCACCACCACAACAGCAGTAGAAGCAGCAGCAGGAGGGCGACGACAAAAACATCGAATAACGCTCTGTGCGCTGTTCACAACATTCCAGAGCAAGTGCGCGAAAGCACAGAGGGAGGGAGCGAGGCGAGTTTTGACTGAGTTCCGGGCACCCTTTCAGAAAAAAAATCTCAAAGCCGCCTATAGCAGTCCTCGTCCTGCAGCCCGGAGGCGTAGGAGGGACACGTCCGAGAAGTGCACGGTGCCCCCCGCAATAGGTAAGGACGGGGAGACGGATGGTGCGTTAGGTGGCCTGTTTTCTCGATGTGAAACCAGCTTAGCGATACAGCCCTCCCTCCCCTTCTCCCCACACCAGTTGCACAGATCTCCACCAGGACCCCTGCTGCCTCCCCGCCACTCCCCGCCACTGCCATCGCCAAGACATCATCACCATGGTCACCATTGCCACCTTCGCGAATAACAGCGCCCCCATTGCCTTCAACATCATCATCCTACCACCACCATGTTCAGAACCACAACGATCACGATATATCACGATCACCGTGGGTCGTAATCTTCATCAACACCACCTACCATGCTCGAGGAGAGCACGCGAAGGTGAACCCATCTTCAGCTCGAAAGCAAGGCCGCTTGACTTGCATCGGTCGTCAAGCACACCACAAGCAGGACAACACATTAACAGTCGCAAAATGCCATTCAAAAAATCAGACAGAGGAATTGGAGACGCACCCTTAAAACAGGTCACATGCTCATGCGCGACGACGGCGGTGGAAGGAGTATCACATGTTATTCCATCAACAGACTGCAGAGCCAGCATCCAAAACACGCAAAGAGTATCTCAAAGTTCAAGTCAAGACATTTGTGAATACCTCTGTTACATTGACGTGGTTTAATATCATATGACGGCAAAACCTTAAGCAGATGCGCTGCCTATGTCGAAGGCAAAGATCGAGTCGAACACAACCTATCCTTGCCATGCCCCGCTCCGACTCTTTCGAGCCATGCCTTGCAGCACTTTGTCCAGAATCTCTTGAGCCTCCGCGAAGCAAAACAGGTCAGGCACTGCCAAACGTCTGAGTCAGAGAGCCAGGCGAGAACTTCCAAAGGCTTGTCATCCATAGCCTCCAGCCAGGAGATGTTTGGTCCCGTCACAGCCGCTGGGGTGTACAGTCATCGCGCCTTTGCCATGCTCACTGCCTCCTGTGCAGCAATCAAGGCTTCGTCGTTCTTACCGCTGACCTGCAGCAAAATAAAGGACACCCAACCAACAAGTGGATGCATGTTGATTGCCTGACTCCGGCTGTTGCCAAGGTTCCGGCAAGCAGAGCCTGCGCTTTCATGTTCACCTGCAGACTCTCATACCCTACCTGCATCTTCACACAGCTCTCGGGCGGCCGGCGAAGGTACACTCGCCAAGCTGGTAACCTCGACTCTGGCGGGTGGAAGATGCCGTGGCCAAAACGGCAACATGTAAGCCAAGTACCCACGTCTTGGTAGATCTTGATGCCCTCGTCGGCACCATCCAGAGCCTCTCGACAGCAAGCAAGGCATTCAAACATACTATGACAGCCCTGAGTGCTGCAACCGACCCGGCAAACTTGGTTTAGGCCCAGAATCTTCAACTCACGTGAGACGCATGCTCAAGCTGCAAGGATTGAAGCAACATGTCACAAGGCAAGAAATTTTGACGCAAGACACCGTGAAACATTCTGATGATGTCTGAAGAGCTTTGCCACGTTGTTTTTTGCAAACCATCAGACAGGCGAGAGGTTTGCCCTAGCAGGCCTCCTGATACCTGCCGCTGACCAGGTTGACTTCCGACAAGGCGTAGAAGCAATCAGCTATGGTCTCAGTCACACATTTTCTGAGGCGCAGGGCATTACCGGCAAATGCTTTGCCGGAATGATGGGCCAGAATGAAGGCTACAATAAACAGTGTACTTGCAGTAGGACACGCATGGAGCGTTGAGGGCTGCACCTGCTGATGGCCCAGCTTATCTGCTATTCTCTTTGCCTCAGCATACAGCCGCACGAATAGCCTCAACAAACATCATCTTGACCGCACGAAGCGCCCGATCAAGAACCGCATCCAGACATAGCGCAGAAATAAAGTCATTCATGCGATCCAGGCAACAGGAAACGAGGGGAGTGGTCACAATGCTGATAGCTAACATTGCTACTACAAACATAACCTACTATGATACAGCATAGTGTTGTCAGTGGTGGCCTGTTCGTGACAATCCCAAACTTGGCACACTTCGCATGCCTGTCCAGCTCGAAAAGAACATGCTGGAAGCAGGCATCGAAAGACTTGCTCGTGCATAACAACACAGCTGTGCTGATGACGACCCTGATGCTGCGAGTATAGCAAGCACGATAACTTGCGAGAATGCTTGCCCTAAGGATTCAGAAGCGTTCTAGCATGTATCTATAAAGTAAAATCTCATAGGGAACCCCAGAAGACATCGGAAGACGAGGCCCGAGCAGCTATGCCAGCTTTCTCTGCCTCAGTCTGAAGGGCGAGCAAGCATTATCTTTGTGTTTCCTCTCTGTATGTGTGCGTATGTCTATATATAAAATATACATATGCATATACCTTTACATATATATATATATGTATATATATATGTACATATCAGTATACATTATAGCTTATATGTTATGTATACTACATACATAACATATAGCCTACTAATCCAACTATCACAATTAGATTCAGATATTATGTGTCATATTTAACATACTGAGCTTTATCATGTCATGTGTTGTGTTATATTCTATGTACACATTAGGTACAATATTAACATCATAGATATTCAAGTATATGTTATGTGTTCTAAGTTATATGCTGCTTATTGCCTTTTATGCTAAAAATTAGAAACTGCAAAGGCGTGAGGGTTTGTTGTTGATGTTCCCTTAGTCGCTCAACTCACACAACTGGTTGAGTATGTGGCTGCCAAAAGTTGAGGTGGTAGTTGACGACTCCACTCTCAGCTTATCCCTTGCAGGCACTCGGACAGAAGCTTCCTTTTCACAGGCGATGCTCAGCTGAAGGTCTGGGGAATGGCTCTAACACTTAGATCAGAAGCCTGCAACTGAGTCGTAAGCTTTTGGCTTATGGCAGTTTCTTGAGCCACAAAGTTGCGTTTGAGGCGGAGCACTTCGAAGGTATGTACATTCTTCAAACCAGGAATGCCAAAGGATTGATGGTAGCACAATCTGCTATGCAGGCCTGTGGTACCCTTGCTCATAGCTCACTCTCATAGCTCTTATTATCGTGACACCAACGAGTTGAATGAGGCATCGAGGTCCGTTCGCAGAATAGTATGTAAGGAGCATGTGAAAAGACATTTCGCATATACTTTGCCATGAACTATCCTATGTTCCAATATTTTCTGTTCTACATAAATAAACATAGACATGAATACATATGTACACATATATAAAGATAAGTTATATTATACGTTGTATGCATAGTATAAGCCGTATATGATAAAGTATATGCTACATGTTGTACACTAAACATAAGAGTATTGCATGGTGTATGTTATTTCTTATGTACTACGCATCAAACCTGTTATCATATATGATATGTTAGGTTTTTCTAAGATCTATACTACGGATTACATTTTTAAACTACAGAACATAAGAAAAGATGCATTTCTTTAGTATATGTATATTACAGATTATCGAGTGCATATATATGTATATATAGTACTATATGCTATACTGTTTTGTCATGTAACTTCTGTGTGTATATGTATATGTTGTATACAATGAATATGATTACTAAAACCGAATCTACTGTAATACCTAATTTATGTGTTGTAACATGTTCTAAAGTAAAAATTAATAATTAACTATTTCATACACAGACACATACATACATACATGCATGCATGCATGCATGCATACATACATACATACATACACGCATACACATCCGCTTTCCGTCTCCTACATTGCTTGCAACAAGACACACAAGCCCTCCTCCCCGAACTTTCCAGGGTGCTCTTAGGAGCCAGCTTTTGAGAGCTGCTCTTCGAGCTCTCGGCTCCCTCGCATCCTGCACTGAAGAATCGGACATGCCAGAAACAAAACACCTCCGTACTCAACGCTATAGAACAACAAAACGTCATTCCAACACAGACTTGGCCTTCCGTTCTCGACCTGGCAGGCGAAGAAACAAAAACAAGGCCCCGTGCCAGGCGCCAAAACGGTGAGGGCGAGGTAGAACGAGGCCCAAGCGAGCTGCGCAATGAAGGAGAGATGAGCTTCGACAGTGAAGAGGAGTGTCCCAGCCTGACTTTCATCCCATCTCACTTCAACACATATCAAGCGCTTGCAGTGACTGCCGGCATGCACAGGCCTCCGCGGCCTTATCACGAGCCCTCTTGCAAAGGGCATGTGCCTCGTAGGCAAGTCGAACTGCCTGACGGCCACACGATCAATACGACAGAAGCAACGCGACGACTGCGACGGCCGCTCGTGTGTACGTTTCGCCTTCCCTCAACTCTCAGGTGACATGACAACTGGCCGACAAGACAGACATAGACAGACAAACACTCTCGCCACGGCCTCTGCAGGCTCCTGCTTGGCAATATGAATCTTGGCCATGCTGTGCAGCACTTGGGCCAACCTCCAGGCTTGTCACGAACTTAAAGCCAGGCACATCTCGGAGCTTGGCATAGGTGAGCTGTTTTGATACTCCACGACCCTGTAAGCGCCGCGCAAACGCCGCTCACCCAAGTCCTCAAAGATCTCTTGTGCTTCCAGCAACCACTTCTCAGCCTCATGGCGGTCTAGGGCTTAAGGACAAGGCCCGAACGCAACCTGAACAGTGTGCGTGTAGCAAGTCCGGCCTCCTCCAACTGACCAACCATCTTGTAGACATTGGCTGCTAACAGCAAACCCTGGCAAAGTCTTGAAACAGGCAGGAAGCTTTCAGCTCTCGCCCGGGGCTCCCCGCGGTGGCTTCCCCACGACGATCCTGCGGCAGCGGATGCTTTCGACTTTTATGAGATCGCCGGGATCCCGGGATCGGACTGCCATGGAAGCCTTGAGCTCCCGAAAGATGGCCACTGCCTCTTCGGCAGTGCTCAGGGCCTGCCACAGCGAGACAGAGAGAGAGAGAGCGGTAGAAAAAAACAAGAAATCAGGGAGCATGGGAGGAGAAGAGAGAGTCCGATCTGACTTCGCAGGAATCTCCGTGCCTCCTGGTACTCCTGTAGCTGGGTTTGCACTTGCCTGGGTTCACTCTGTGTGTTTGCATGTGAGTCAGCGAGTCCGTCTCTCTGCCTTTCTGTCTGTTTCAATCGCAGCTTTCAGTTGAACCGAACCAGCATTAAAGACCTGCATACACACTTACATACATACATACACACACACACACACGCACGCTACATGCGTGCATGCATCCATGCATGTCCATACATACGTTGGTAAGTAAGGCCTGCAGCCTACACCCTGAGTTCAGTCTTGATGCACATGGGGGGCAGCAGAGGCACAATATGGCACAATCAACACCTCGAGAACATTTTGGGACACGTTGCGTAGGCTGTCAGTCGGCATCAGAGCAAAAGCTACGCCACAGCCGATTCCGATCGCTGTACAGATCTGACCTAAGCCTGTCAGCGGCTGCGTCGGCGACTCCTGCTCCTGTTGGGCTTTGCAACAAGAGCTTCCAGGGAAAGCCATGGAGGGCGAAGACGCGAAGCACGGCATAGAAAGTCTCTGAAGTGCACAACACCATGCTCGAGCTGGACTTACGCAGTGCCACGTCGGGCAAATGCACCAAACCAATTGCTGAAAGGTTGGAACAGGCCATCAGAAAAAGAGACAAGTATAGAAGGCACGCGCAAAACTATTCGAAAGATGTGCTGTAGAATTTCAGGCTTGGGGTGCTTGTCTTTTACACATGCCGGCAGCTGGGCCTCCGCCTCCTTGAGGAGGTGGAAGTCCTGTCATCTTTTGGTCAGTACGTTTGCGTAGAAATCTCGCAGGGACTCAAACAACGATGCGCAAACAGCGAACACCGGCCTCTTTCGCCTCTTTCTCGGGGGACGGCTCCGGCTCCTGCACTTTCGGCACCAGGACTGCACTTGCTGATCACACGACTGCGAAGGGGAAGGTCAGAGAAGAAGAGAAACGAAGCACAACACGAAGCGTTCCGCGGCAGCTCTGTCCTGTTGCTCTTTCTGCTGCTGCTACTGCTGCTGCTGCTGCGGCTCTTATTTTTCTTTTGCTTTTTCCCGGCTTCATCCGTGTCTTTCTTCTTGTCATCGTCCTTGTCGCCTGCATTACCTGCAGCAGCTGCATCAGGTGCCGTGCCTTCGTCGTCACCTCGGCGAGTCTACTCTAAGTCAACCACAGGGCAGAACGAATGAGATTCTGGCAAGATGCACACTGCGCTATTCTGAGCAAGTGTCTGGAGCTGGCAGGCTCTTCTTGCTCTTCTTCTTGCTCGTCCTGCTCCTCTGGCTCCGCCTCTGATTCCGTCTCATCAGCTTTCGGCTCTAAGCCTTTGGAGCGGAAGACGCTCTTGATGCTCTCCTCGGGAGAGAGACGCACAATCACAGAGCTGGCTGCTTGTACTACCCATATTGAGTCCTTCACTCGTTGCTCGAGTATGTAGCACTGTTGAGACCAGCACGCCATAATAATGCACTAACCAAGACGACTGTGTTCATGGCACCAGTGAGGGTGACAGTGGCAGGGCTCCGAAAAGTCGAAGGAGAAGTGCAACCAGTCTGAGCTACAGGCGAAAATGAAAACTCAGATGTTCACACCATGCAGTAGAAATGAATTTAGATTATTCTGTGTGTGTGTGCATTTTCGAAAAGCTCGAGAAAGAGAATCTGCATATGCACAGCTGCTTAAAAGACAACGGTATGAGGTGAAGCCGGCAAACATTGGCAAAACATGAAACGGCACACGCTTTCAAAAAAGAATTTTTTGGCTCCCGCGTAGCAGCGACTGCCATGGATCCATGAGTCCTCGTGACAAGTGGCCCCAGAAGAGGCCTCTGCATCGTGGAAGTCCATGGAAACGGTGCTGGAGGTTTGGAGCCGCTGGTGCCACTACACAGAGTGCGGGGGGTAACTACGACCTGGATTGCACAAACGTTCGTGCCGGTGGCTCGCAACCACTGTGCACCTACACCTTCCGTGACGCGCTGCCTCTGCACTGGCCTCGTCTGTTTTCTCTTACAGATCTAGCTGGATGGAGCTGCGCAAAACACTGGTGCCCCTACGTCGCTGGGGACGCGCTGCCTCTGCACAGGCCCCGAATGAGACCTGGAAGACCATGTATGAATGGCTCATAATGGCTCGTTACCATCTGCATGGATGGAGTTTTGCAAGCCTTGTGGTGCCCCTACATTGTTGGTGACGCGCTGCCTCTGCACAGGCCTCGTCTCTTACAGAATGCAGCCTGGAAAACCCTGTATAGATGGCTCGACCCTGCATGGATGGCTCGTTACATGACAGTGATGGTGGCGTCTTGCTCCTATCGAGGGGGGCCACAGTGCACTCAATGGCCGTATCGTGGAGTGAGTGGTACTGCGACTTTTGCACTGTGCTGAGACTGGAATATCTTCAAGCCTCCCTGGCGCGTTCGATAACGAGCCCCACGAGCATACAAATCCTGCGTATTGGATGACTGAGAACGGTGTTGCCGTCCCTGCACGACAAAGCTGAAACGGATTGGGGTGACAGATGTCGTGACGATCAGGGGAATGATGAAGTGATGCGAATGAACGGGCTTGCTGTGTGAATTTGTTTGAACTGCCTCTCCTGTCGAGTGTACAGCTCTCGATACTGTACTACTGTGTCCTGCGCCTGTGCCATAACTTGCAATTGATGTAGTATCACTTCCCAAATTTGGCGTGCATCCCGTGGGTCGCTTTAACCTATGGGCTGAGATGCATGCTTAGCTGAAGAGTGGGGTCATCATCGTGTGGTGAGACCTGCTTTTGCGAAGTCGTCGTCAAAAAAGATAGTTACGGTCATTTCCGACACGATGACAGACCTACGCAGTTTGGGGAAGACGTGTTCAACATGTTCAACGTCGTCGCGCTTGTAGTATCTGAACAAGGCACAAAAATCAAGTCAAGTCGGGAAGAACACCCGGCATAAACTCATGCAAGCTAGGCACGAAACTATGTTGAAGCACCCAAAACACAAAAAACATATAACCGTCCTGCATGGGTGAGATATGGTGACATACAAAGATGTGAAGCGGCTCAACCAGCCGGCAGACATCAACCGCATCACCTCCTTCCGTGAATGATGCTTCAAACGAGTGCGCAACATATGCCGAACCTGCGGACATCAAGGTATAAAAGCCGGCCACTGCGGAGAAAGCGAAAAATATAGAAGCCTACATAAATCCTAGTGCCTAATGCGTGTTCACAGTGTAACTCGAACGACCTGTGCCGCATGGAGACAAACACGTGCAAACACCGGTCTAAGTGCGATGGCATCGAAGACTGAGCCACCACATGCAGACGTGCAACATCACATGCTCAAACAGAAGATTGATGTAGAAACATGTATCTGACGTATCTATGTTTTTGCGTGCTGTCTGTATGTATGTACGTATTCATGCACGCACGCATGCATGCATGCATGCATGCATGCATGCATGCATGTATGTATGTATGTATTTAGCTCTTAGTATATGGTCGCATCTGTCGGGCGAACATGAGCACTGAACTTGGCAGATTCGTTAACTCCTGAAGTAGCGCATGAGGCGGTGACGCGTATGTACGCATTGTCGGAAATGCAAAGACTTGACAAACAAAGATTGAGCAGCTCTGGGTCCTATCCTCATTTACAGATAAGATATCAAATGTGTACATACCGGTATTGAGAACATCTGAGAGATGATGCAGTCGAGTCTCCAGTGCTTTCGCTTTCTCGGAGGCCGGGCCGATACCGAGACTCTCCAGCAGCGGTGGGAGCATTGGATCCTGCATGACCTCCACAGCAGGCAATTCTCTGAACTCCGGAGCCGGAAACCCAGTTCAAGGGAACATTCAACCGCAGAGACGTGTGGCTATGGCTGAAGTGGATAGCAAAGGCTGGCCTGCTGCAAGGCCTCCCCTGCATCGCTGAAGTCCTCATCGGCGGCTGCTCTCCTTGATAGGGCGTTGTCTACGCACAGAAGCCCGGCACTCTGGACCGAACGCCACCGAGGCTCGTCATGTTGTCGGAAAGCTTCTGGAGCGAATTGAGGCTATAGTCGATGCTGGCTCTCAGAGCTGCTTCGTATCGGAGCCGTGCTGTCTTCATCTTTTCGGAGACACGCTCTTGCTTCACCCGGCCCTGCTCCAGCTCGGATTTCAGCTTCGCGATTTCTTCTTGCTGCGCCGCGCTCTTCTCTTCGAGCGCCGCGTTCTTCTCTTCGAGCGCAGTGTTCTGCTTGCGGAGCACTTCACCTGCAGCCCGTGGATGAGTTGGGCGAGTGAACGAGAGAGGGCACCGAGGGAGCAACCATGGGCTCAAGAAACTATAAGTGGCGGTATTATTATAATTATAATATTAAAATAGTATATAATATAATATTATACTATTATAGTATTATAATATTAGAATATTACAATATTCCAATATTATAACATTACATTATTATAGTATTATAATATTATGATATTATAGTATTATAATATTATAATAATAGGCATTCACGACCTGAGTGCAAGACTCTCGGCTTGGATCTGCTCGGAGGTCTGGCGTGCATCAGCCAGCTCCTCCTCGAGCACTCTGTGCGCTGCAAGCGCCTCGGCCATGAGCTCTAGTATAATAGAATATTATATTATATTATATTATACTATATATTATTATACAGTATATTATAATACATTATATTACATTACATTACAGTATATTATATGGTATTCTATTACATTATATTATATTATATAAGAACTGCTGGCAAAAAAGGGAAGGGAACAGAATCGAAAGGCCGGACTGCCTTGTCTCGCTCTGCTTCCAGCTGTGCTCCTGCGATATGCAACTAATACAGTGCGACCAGAAACACTCTGCCACATGACGAAACATCTGAGACCAGTGCTTTCACGCTGCGCATCCGCCAGCTTCTGCTTGGCATCCGCCACATGCCGTCTATCCTGACTTGGTTCTTCGATATCCGCTTTTCACGCGCATAGAACAGGACAGCATTCATCGGATGTCACTCAAGCTACTGGCAGAGAAAAAACTGGAGAAATCTTGCAGAATTTATCCACATCAACTTCTTCTAGCAATCGCCACCCCCACCGAAGGCAGCCCTCCTGATTCAGTCAAGCAAGCTCTCGTTAACCGGGGTGCCTCCTCTCTTGCCTCCTCATACTGGCTGTCCAGTGAATTCAACTGGTCGCGCAGCATATCTTCTGTTGCTCTCGCCTGCGCCAGTTCTTGCTCCAGGTTGGCCATCTTGTGCAAGGTTTCTGGATCGTCCACTGGATCCGACTGCGACGGCTTTGCGGGCTGCAGGACTTGGGCCTTGGCTTCAATCGCTTTTGTCGGGCAAGCTTGGAGTGGGTTGGGAAGGTACTCGGAATCATTGATTTGATCCTGGCGAGCCGTTGTAGGGCGGCTGACGGTCTCGGATGCTCCTTCTGATTAGCAGCGGTTCGAAGCAATCTGTCAAAGTTGGCGAGTTTGTCACGCTCAAAAGCCGCAAGACACACAGCATTGGTCACCCCGAGAAGGTCTTCGACGTATTACATCGAGACAAAACGCACATATCCATGAGTGGACCACCTGGCGACACGAAGGAAAAGGTACAGCAAGCCACGTGCCCATGCACACTTTGGCACAGCGTACCGGTGTCAGAATGTGGGTTCGTGCTGTCTGATCTTCCAGCAATTGCTTCTTTGTTGCTTTCCCTCCGATCCGATCTCTGGCACGGTGCTGCTATGTCTCCACTGTTGGTGTTGGTTTGGGTGCTTCTGTCAAGATTGCTTTTGGTCTTAATTTCGCTGTTCATGGCATTAACTGGTTCAGGCACCTCTTGCGTGAGCAAGCTGAACAAGCACACAGTAGGATTGCGTCGAGCCGCAGAGTTCTGCACGACTCGGCGGCACCGACTTGACATTTCTTTGGCCATGTTCGCAATCATGTTCAGATTCATGAAGCCGGCAGAGTCTGGCTTTGACCTGTGTGTCAAGCATCGTGCGGAAACGACCCATAGCTTGCCACACCACTCTGTCACCTTGACCGTGAGACTGCAGACACAGCCTTTAGAGTTTAGAGTACACCCTTCATCCGAGATACGGGGACGCAGGATCGGCATATTGAGGTGGCCTGAAAGCTCACCGCTCTCGGCATCGAACACGAGTGCAAAAAGTCAGATTCTTGCCTGCAAACATTTAAGCCTCTTGGTTGCAGTGCAGCGAGACATCTCTCTGTAAGCTCCTCGCTCGATGCCCGCGGGGTAGTCCGTGCACTCTTCCTTGACCGGCACCGGCGCCTGCAGGGGAATGTCCAACGGGTCACTGATGGCGGGAAGAGGGAAGAGCGTGGCATCTCCGAGCGCCTACGCAGTCTTGCCTTGGGAAGCGGGGCAGTGGAGGTCGATGCAGCAGGCGATGACGGCGCAGGCGGCACCGGCTCCGCCGTCTCGGATGGCAGCGCAGTCTCCGCGGATGCAGAAGGTGTCGAGGTCTCCGCAGATGCAGAGGGTGTCGACCGTTTGGGCCTTGGCAGCCTTGGCAGCCAAGGCACGAGGCAGCCAAACTGTCCAAGTACCCCCCCTTATAGTTCATTTCAGAAGTCGAAGGGTTAAGCTTCAATGTGCAAGAGACCACGCTCGCACATTCATCGAAGCTTCGGCCGGAGCTGTTGCGTGATCTGCTGTCGGCATATGCCTTTCACTCGACCTTTCCCACCCAAGACAACAAAGTCCCAACCCTAAAGCGCCCAGGTGCTCTTTGTTGGACAACCTGCTGGGCTGTATCCTTGGCTGCAAGAGTCCGTGAATTTGGGCCAACTGACTCAGAAGCACAACCCCACCAGAAAACAGTGGCGTGAGTGAGTGCGTGAGTGAGTGAGGTGGAGTTGAACGGAGTGGAGTGGCGTGGCGTGGCGTGGAGTGCAGGGGAGGGGAGGGAGAGGGGAAGGGAGTGGAGGGCAGGGGGAGGGGGGGACGGGAAGGGATTTTTTGTTTGTTGCTTGTGTGTGCTTGTGTGCTTGTGTGTCTGTGGGTTTGCGTGTTTGCGGGTGTGTGCGGGTGTGTGCGTTTGTGTGCGTTTGCGTGCATGCGTGCATGCGTGCGTGCGTGCGTGCGCGGGCGGGCGGGGCGGGCGGGCGGGCGGGCGGGTGGGCGGGTGGGCGTATATGATATAATTTATATGCGCAAGCGCGAACGTGCAAGCTTGCGGGCGTGTGGGCGTGCTGGCGGTCCTACGGGCGGGCATGCGGGCGTGCAGGCGTGCGGGCGTACATGCATGTGCATGCGGGCGTGCATGCGTGTACCCTTGGCTGCGAAGTCTGCAAGATGTGGGAAAAGCATGGAAGAAGGACCACGCCACCCAACCCATCTCAAGAAAGAACAAACGGCGGCATTCAGAGTTGTATAGCTGCTGATTTGCATGTGAACCTTCGTGAGCATCCCGATTTCTGGGCGAGCCTCGCCGGCACCCGAGCCTTGGGCGCGATTCCGCCAGGCTTCGGCCTGCCGAGGAATCTCAAAATCAAGTTAATTGAAAACAAACGGACACAGCTCCAAAACTCGTCGCCATGCCTTGAAGCTTTGGCTATGAGCAGCGCGGAGGCTTTGGCTGTGCTGCTTGGCTTCGGCTTGGGTGGACTTGTGCTCGCCTTAGGCGGACTTGTCGTCTTCGGTTTGGGTGGTCCCGGCTGTGGTGTCTTGTAGGCCACCTTGGCTTTGACCGCTTTGGCCCGGATAACGGTCCCTTTGCCGCCCTTACCAGGTCCGCCCTTGCCAGGGGCAGGCGGCGGGAAGACACCCTTCGCAGGGATAACCTTGCTGAAAACTGACTTCATGGCTCAGGGAGTGCATGGCAAACTCATGGTTGCAGTGTAGTGTACGCATCCAGTTGCTTGATTAATGAGCTGCGTGTGCAAAGTGCCAGCTTCCATGAAAGCGTCTTCATCTCGATGTCCACACCAACAGTGTCCGTTGCCATGACTTGTCTTGGGCAGCAGGGCAGATGATGTTGGATTCTGCTTGTGTAGGCCGTCTCGGAGTGTTCTACTCTATGCATTTGCCCTACTTCGCCCTTCTCAGAGCCGCCAGGTGTGCATATCAGTGGGCTTTCCAGGAGATGCCACCGCAAAACCTTGCTCCAGCAAAGTTCAGCCAGCCACAGCACAGTGTTCAGCCGTACGTATGCCTGCAAGCTCGCCCCGACCAAAAATGCTTCAATGCTTCGACAACGGACGGCCTGCCCGCTGCGATCTCCGATATCTTCTAGGATCCAGATTGCCTCCGACGAGCGGGTTTTTTTGCTCTGTCTCTCCTCTGGTTCGAGAATTCCTGTCGCAAGCTTCGTCAAGCCTCTTGCGCGGCTTGGAGTGCTTCGGGGTACTGCTTCGTGGCACAGCGCAAAGCGGCCTCAGGGCTGGGGCATGCTCTGTCACCGCAGTGAAGGTGCCTAAGCCTAGGAGCCACACCACAGAATGCAGCATGACAGCCTCCCATGGCAGGTCCTTCGATACTACACGGACCACAAACTCTCACGCTGTCTTCATTGCAGGCTCAGCATTTCTGCATTCCGCCTCCAGCTCCTTGATGATATCCAGCGCTTGGAGGGCATTGTCGAGGGCCTGAAGTAAGAATCTGTCAAAACGTCGCTGCATGCTCATATGGGCAGGACACGAACATACGCTCGCGCATGCGCTCACGCGCGCCCGCGCCTCTGAAGGTCTTCTCATGTTGTACTGGACAGACGCGATCTGATCCAGGGCAACTGCCTGCACGAATACTTCTGGTCCGATGATTTCCAAGCTGTCCGCTCCTACAGCAGAAGGAATGTGCGCAATCCTCCCACGTGGCCTCGCCGCGCTTGTACCGCTGACCACGGAACCTGAGATCTCGCTCACTGCCCGTGCGCATCTGGTGTCAACTCAGGCGGTGGCTGCTCCAGTGCTGCCTCCGCCACCTCGATACCCTTCAGGTCGTTCTGAGCTGTACCTCGGGGACCCAGAAATGGGCTTGGCACATCTTGGAACCCCCAATACTTGGCCCCAGGCAATAAGACTTGACGAGCAGCCGCAAAGCATTCGACCTCACTCGGAGACTCTCTGCGAACAGCCCCGCCGAGTGCTGTTTAAGGCTTCAGCTGTCCCGCCAAGCTGTTTTTTGCTCGGTAGATGGCCATGGCATCTTCCGCGGCCTGGCTGGAGGGTGCAATTCTGTTGATGTTACACTTCCTCTGCCTTCCAGCCTGTAGCATCTTCATGTCATCCTGCAGAAGGCGTGAGACACCAAACCAACACCAGCACCTGTGGGTGTAACGGTGTCGCCTTGCACGCCTTGTGGAACTCGGCAAGGCTCATGAGCTCCGCAGCCTGTGAAACAGGGCAGTTTCTTGCTGTATCATGCTGTTGCTTGCTTCGCTCATGTGCCCCAATACCAGCAAAACCCGCATGAAACTCAGGATGCGTCCTTTTTTTCGGACCTGTGCAAGACTACATCTGCGCTCTGGGCTGGCTGCCTTTGCCAAGGGGCTCCAATCTGTCCAGTGTTTCAGAGCCGTCTCTCCAGATGCTCTCTCCGACAACGACACTTTGACCTCCTTGAGCTCCTTGACCCTGTTGTGTGTCTGTGTGATGTTCAAGTCGAGGGACTCCTGCGAGCTCGAGCCGAGCCTGCGACCTGCGTGTGGCCGCCTCCAGCCCGAATCTGCGGGCTCCAGTAGCCATGTCATATGTAAGTAGCAGCAGTTCATGTGCCTTGTCGCCAGAGCTCGAGCTGAGGAAGCATCGCAGCGGTTGCCGACCATGTCGTGCTAGCAGCTTTGCTGAAGCGAAGCCACCAAACTACTCCAGACCAGAACAAAGTATCTGTGGAGCCTCGGTGCAGTGGGGCTTCCTTGCCGTTCGACTCGACGGCATACTCGTACTGCAGAAGCACTACCTTTTGTGCAGATTGCGGCGCGGGCACTCCTTGCTGGCATCGAACATCTGTGGGGCTCCTATGCTTACCGCGAGCTATAATACGGGTTCAAAGGGCCACCACTTCTTACAGTGTTTGAAGCCTGATGCTCAATCCGGAAGGCTTCGGAATGATCCAAGACTCTCAACCGGTGCCAAACTCTGTTGTCCAGCACCAAGATGTCTCCGGCCAGCGCAGGTACGTTGTCGAGGGTGACCTCAAAAAATCCCTACATGCGCCGCGAACGTCTTGCCTGCACTGACAAGTTGCGTTGCTGAGAATCGCAAAATATACCAAAGACACGTCCGAATGGTGGCTGGCTATGACACGACGTGCACAAGGCCCTTGTCACAAGGCAAACATGCGAATGGCTGACAAAAGGAGAGACAGCGTAGGCTGCCACTTCGGTGTTTGAGAGCTTGCAATTCATGCTCGAGAGCATCGATGAGCATCGTTCGGGGATACCAACACTCTGTTGCCACCGAAAGGCTTCAAGTCACTAAAAACATGCGGAAACAGATTCTGGCCGAACCGTGACATCCTGCAACTGAGGCTGATAAGACCGGCTATGGTTAAGTTAAGCGCTCGGGGCCTCCGGCAGGCTCCACCCCTGCAGCACTTTGTGGGAACCGGCGATCACCTCCAGCTGCACGCAGTCTTGGGCCATATCTACGAGAGGCACCACCACGGAGATACCCTCCGCTGACCCTGTGCCAAAACCTTCAAGGTCCGACCACGTCCGAGAGCTCGTGCCCGAAACCGAACTGGAATCTGCCCACAGCAGCGATGCTTGCTTCAGCGACAGGGAGTAGCCCTGCCGGATCGGCCTGTCACCCGCATGCCCGGCATCTCCCGCCGGACTGAAGCTGCTTTGTGGGAGCTGCGCTTGAAGCACCGGCAGCCACAGCTTCTCAGCCGAACGCAGCGTGGCAGCAGTCAAAGCCTGAACGCAGTCATGCTCAGAGAGTCACTGTCACTGTTACGCTGCTCTCGGACATGTGCCACAAGCAACTGAGAACTCGGCCAAGTCAGGCAGGCGCCACGCAGCATCCGTGCTCAGCAGATCAGTGGAATCATGGCTGCTGTGCCACGACGCACGGTGAGCTTCGTGCATCAATTGGGCCACATCAGGCATAACTCCTTCTTCCGTCAGCTCTTCCCTATGATAGAAGCACCACATGTGCCAGCCGGCAACGCTTCTCGGCATCTGCTTGCTCGGACTTGCATCCGCGTCGTCTTTCTTCTTGAAAGCCAGGGGCCCAAAAAGGAGCAACGACAGTGCCGAGCCCCAGGGACCCAAGCGAGAGTTCCCACCCTCTGCCTCCGCATCTTTCGCCTGACGCGCAACGGGAGCAACGGACCAGCTTTGGCTGAGCTCCTCCGGGTCGAAGCGCAGTGAGGGCGTGCGCTGACCAATCCTGCATGGGGGATCCGGGGGGGGGGGGTTGTGGACAGAGCGCTATTCTCCTTCACAGCCTTTAGACACCCACCTGGAGCAGGCTGCATCGAGCAGCGCCTTCAGGGTGGGATGCTGCATCGACTGCATCACAGATACCAGGTAGCCAGAGGATTCACCAACCAATGCCCCAGCGAGGAATGAGCCAGGAATAAGCAAAGGCATCGAAATGGCGGAACCAATAGCTGCACCAAACACATCTAGGTTCAAACCACCGGCAGGAGTGAGCAAGGAACGTCCCTGAAAGGTGATACCTTCAAGCACCCTTGCAAAGGGCCTGCAGTACTCCTGTCCCCTTTCACGCCGAAGTGGCACCATGTTGGCCATCACGGCGACCCCATGCACATCAAGGCATCCAGCAAGAGCCGCCGTGAAATCTGAATTCGGGGTCAACCGCAACCCGGCCGCAAAGCTTTCTTCATGCCGAGCGTCCGAGGGAGGTCTTGACTCCCTGTAAAACATGTAGCCGGCCCCACCTGCTGCGCAAACTCCTGCGTGGCGCAGCCAGCGCCCTGCAAACCTTACAGCCCTCATGGATTCCGGCGGCATGCCTTGAATTTAGAAGAGGTACCTGCAAGGTTCTGGTATCTCATCACCACAGCGCGGTTTTGCACAACCTTCAGCTGCGCCCTGTCAGTGCTGATGACTGATATCTCTGGCCGAGACCATGGACGCAGGGGTACGCAGGGGTGACCCCGTGAGGGCCGAAGCTACGGCTCACAAAGCTGAATATGCCAGCCCATGTGCTCGTCCCAAGTAAATCAAGAAAAAGGCTCCTCGGAAGTAGAGAGCCCTAAACCATCCTAAACCCTAAACCCTAAACAGGAGTCCCCCTGGGCCTCTTGGCAGGCCAGGCCCAGCCCGTTGAGGATTGCACAGGCCTGGATCTGAATCCGTCGGCCCTATGGGCCTCAAAAGCCGCCACCAGACAAACCCCTGGCCTCGCTGGAACATCGCACGGCCTGACCACCCCCCAAGAACTTTTTGAATTTCACTTCGCACGTGACCTTAGGTGACTCCCGCCACCTCCATCACCTCATTGTTGAGGCTGGCTGCCGTAGCTAGGCAATGCAGCGCCTGATCCGCAACATCCACAACAAATTCCCCCCGCTGATGCCGTGCACTTCGTGAACTCTCTCAAATCTGTTATTCGTGGTAGTTAACTACCTGGTAGTTTGTAGGGCCAAGAGACAGCGCCTGAGCTTCTCCTTTCCGGTCTCCGACTTGCTTGAACGCCTCCAATCCGAGACTCCGACAGGGCCTCTTGCTAACCACAGAAGCGAGCGGTCCGCTTCGGAACCTCTACCGCAGCTCGCGCGGCCCGCAACATGTTCTCAGCTTTCTGCGTGTTCTCGTAGCTGCGCGCCTGTCCAACAGCTTGAGGCCCGCATGGCCCAAAGGGCTCCAGAACGAACTTCCTCCGAGGCCGTGGCCAAGGTAACCAGCCCTTCGGCCTGAGGCCAAACACCACAGTCTTCACAACTCACAGGTGCGCGGGCCGAGCCTCCCAGGCACGGTCCTTGAGCTGCTGCACCTGGGGGTCTTGCTTATGCCAACGTGCCCTTCGCGCTGTGTTTTTACTTGAGCTTCTCACCATGGCCAGAGCACTCTTCGCGAGGGAAATGACCTCGCAAGTCACAATCTGCAAACTCTTGTGGGAAACGACTAGTGACTATTTTAGTATTCGTACTCCGGGAAGGGGTAGGTTGGGAAGGTCGGACCTCCTTCGGTCGGACTGCCTGCAGCAGCTTCAGGTCCACCAAGGCCATCATCATGGCGGCCTCGGGGAAACATCAGGTGGTCAAAGAAAGGGCCAGGGTGCTTGAAAGACCGTGCCTCCCCTAGCTTGTTGCCGTTTGCCCGACACCTCTCCAGCTCCTCGCACGACACAGTGCAAGCAATGTAGGTGCGAGTTATCCGAAAGAGCTTATGCAGGTGCTAGGGCAGGGGGTGCAGATCAGCCTGCTTTGACTGGAGAACCGCTGTACAGTGAAGGCTCAGCTAAAAAATTGAGACCGTGCTACTTGGTTTACGCCGCGGTGAGATTCAGATGCCGGTGCGCGGAGTGATTTCTCCACCTATTCCCACCAGCGGGGAAGGTTTGGAAGCAGATCAATGCCGAATTGAGAGGCCAGCAGAGGGCGGCCAATCACAAAGTAGCCCGCAAAGGTTGAGAAGACATTCAAGAAGAGCCACGCCCCGATGATCTGAAACCTTGCTCCAAGAGCCAGCCCAATTGGAGCAGCATCAACTTGACCACCCGAGCGGCATTTCTCCAAGAGCTCTTCCACTTCACCACGATTCGTCACCAGCCACGTGCCCCCTGCAAAGGTGTTGAAGACGGTGTCGATGGCCTTGTCGCTTTTGGCGCCTCGCTGTTTCAGGCGCGCTCGGAAGCCTTCTCGATCGATGGAGCCTACGTTCCCCGGCCAAACGGTGCCCATGTCGCAGAGCTCCAGGACCTGCTTTGTTTCATCTTCAGGGATCGAGAAATCCACTGCCCATGCGAAAGGGTTGTAGTCGTAGCCCGACTCACCCGTCGCAGCCCGTATCGTGGCCCGCATCGTGCGTGCCCGGAGTCTGTTGTCAGTTTTCGGCGCCACGAAACAGCTCGCAAATCTCCAAGTCAGAGAAAAGACCACCGCGAGACATAGCGCTGCAAAGAACTGGCCTGATCGGCCTGCCATCTCCTACAAAACTCTACCAATCCATCAGCTGACTTCGGGCCCCAATGCTTCCACAAATCGCTGCGGCCTCAACTTCTTATAACGGTATCTCAGAAGACTAAGAGCATCTTCAAAAAAGCGACCTCGGAGGCCCGGTTGTAGGCCGCATCCAACTCGTCGCGGCCCTGCACCGGAGCCGAGACAGAAGACACGAGTAATTAGAACCGCCAAAAGACAAGCAAGGGCTCGACAGGACGCGTCTGAGACGGCTCGTTTGAATGAGCCCATGCACCGATGAGCGTGCAGCAAGTCCGAAGCCCCGTTGCATCTCGTCATAAGAGACATGAAATAAGAGCGTGTATGCCTGGTAGGCAGACACTATGCAGCGTAGGGCTCGTGCAACGCCGCTCCTGCGAAGCGCGCAGGAGGTCAGGCTAATCGTGCATGTGGCCGGTGCCGCGCCTATCTCCGATTTCTCTGAACATTTGAAGTGCGTCCGCAGCGGCCTTATTGACTTTTCACTCGCGACACGTGGTGTCGCTGTACTGAAGGAACGAATGCTCGCTCAGGTGGCGACCCTTTCAGCTGCCTGTCAGGGTCTCGCAGAGCGACCAGTCGGAAGTGTGCAGGAGTTTGCCAGGCCTGAAACGCCTCTTCATCGCATGCCTCTTGTGCATCTTTCAGAAGCGCCCGAGCCTGGCATCGGCGAGACTTACACCGCGCGACTTTTCTAGCCGTACCCAGCTTCTGGAGCTGCTGTGCTGCCTCTTTCCCAACCTGCGCCCTGCTTTCATCCAGGGAGTCCAACTGGGGCGGTCCATCCTGCGAGAATCAGGCGTCGGTCGGGTGATCGCTTTTCGGCACCCGGCGTGTGAACATCTGAGGCATCGTCATCCGCAAGGTCGCAGAGCGAGATGTTGCGCTTGATGACCTAATCGCCAGGTGAGAGCTTTCCACTCACACGCTCGCACATGGCAGGCATGGGAAACTTGTTTTTTTCAGCCCCGTTTGGCGTTTGCATCCTCTGTCTCCAGAAGCTGCATCCAGCTTCTGCCTTGTGCATAGGCTGGGTCAGCAGATTTCTGTTCCAGGGATGGATTCTTCGTGTTACGGGCATGAGGGCTTCCTTGAGGGCAAACTGCTTCAAACCTGACTTCAGCATGTAGTTAAGAGGTTTCGGGTTTAGGGGACACATGAAGGCCTCGGAAGCACCCAACCACTATTGGGGCATCCCTCAGCGAAGGCTTGTGATGACGCTCATCGGCACCAAGAAGAACAAATGCTGTAGGTTTTTAACATGAAGGACGGAAATGGTGGGCATCACAAGCCTGATGCTACAGCACGACAATAATGGGCCGGTCGGCCCTGGTAGTTTCTCTTGAAAAAGGTCTGCAAATGCTGGAACCAGCCGGCTCCGCTTGAAGGTTCGCATGGATTCCCGGGTTCATTGGCAAATTGGGTTTCGAGCACTGTTGCATTCTGCATTGCCTGAAGGAGACTTTGCAGGTCGCATGAACCCTCAAGCAGCAGCAGCAGTGCCAAAAGCACCCGCCGCCGGAAGTGCCAAGTCAGGGCTACGCAAAATGACTACCACAGCCCCAGACAAAGAGTTAGGGCGAAGCCGCCAGGCGGGGGGCTACAGAAAAACAAGGGGCCCAGATAGAGAACCCTAAGTGAAGGATCCACCTTAGAAGAAGAGCTTCGGGTTCAGGGTTTAGGGAGCTGTCAAGAACCTTCCTCATCATCGATCAGGTTAAGCACGCGCGAAACACCACTCTTGGGAGTTTCATATTTTGCGACTGCTACCAGAAGTGGGCACAGCACAAGAAAGGACACTATTCTTCGAAGAAACACCCGTATGTCACAGAAGCGGGCTTGGAACAGCCCTTCGATCAGCCCTATGCGGAGGAGCAGGAAGTTGGCTGACATCATCGAGAGGGCATCGGCGGAAAATTGTAGACACATCTTCACGGCCCGTGAGATTTATTCTGGCGCTTCGCCTCCTGCTTAGGACCTGAGGCGCTCCGTCCACATAACAAAATGGTCGTATTGCCATCATTATTGCTATGACTCGTATGATTAGCGTTTTCACTATCAGTATCACGAAGAATGATATCTCAACAGGCACTGAGAAGATGTAGCCTCCCGTCGGCCAGTTTCGTGTGACTGCTGGTTTGGAAATCAGGAGAGAACTGCATACGTTGTTCGAGGTGCAGTCCTCACATCCTTCTTACCTGGACCCCAAAAGGGTAGTTCTCGAAATTAGGGTCCCTTTCAGGGTCCCTTTTAATCTTCTTTAAGGGTGCCGTACTATTTTGGTGGATCTAAAAAGGGACCATAATTTAGAGAACTACCCAAAAGCGTGTTAAACTACTAGCCCTGTATAGGTCTTAATTGGGCCTCATTAGTTTACCTACCGGGGGTTAGGTACAGGAAACTAAATAAAACGGCAGATTCGCATGCATTGGCCCATTTGCGCAGTAGCAGACATCTATGTCTGCCGAGGGGCATCTTTGGCCACCCCTGCTAACTGAGGTTTAAGGCCCCGGTGCTAGAGCCCCAAACAATAAACCCAATAAACCCTAAACCCCAGACCTGATGTGGGGCGAGCCCGCTTCGGTCTCGGTGTCTTCTTGATTAACGTCCCACGTCTCTGGTGGATCTTTCACGTCCAGCTCGACGATGTAGACAAGGGCGAAGGCATTCAAAACAAAGTCCACAAGACTACCTCGGCAAAGCCACAGGGGCAGCGTGTAGACAAGAATGGCTCTGTAGAGACCATTGGAGATATAAGACATGAAGAACCGAAATTTGATCTCCGGCATGCCCCACGGATCACGAGCACGCGCACGGGGACCGTCATTTTGTCCAAGTTTCATCCTGGTCGCATGGCCATCGCATGCCAATATGTGCAGGCTCCACATCCTCGAGTTGCTCGGCGTTATCATGCAACAGGCCCAGCGCATCCAGCGAAAGATCGGCTTGTGCAGCCTGCTTCGCGGCTCCTGGGCCCGGACCACAATTCCGCAGCCCATCTGGCTACACACGGACTGGCTTGCATCTCACATGGCTTTGCGCGCAGCATGGAACGCCTTGCGAGCGGCTTTCCTGTCCTGGCGGATCTCTTCTTGCACTGTGCGATCGTCGAGGGTGATTCTGATCTGAACTAGCAAAGATCCCAGCCACAACCCCGTCTTCTTTGGATTCATTGCCAGGGGTTGCATGACGATGCCAAGGTAGATGATCATGAGGAGGCTCACCAGCAAAAAAACGCAAAAGCAACCTACCAGGTGGCATTCCGGATCTTGGTATCTGCATCTTGCTTCCGCAGGGACCCTCTCCTCGTCTCCGTGGAGGACATTGGAGGCTCTCTCGCGTGCCCTGCGCCAGTCGACGAACATGCAGAGCCACACAGCATTGAAGCAAAGCCAGACAATGCACTTCGTTGCAAGGGGGAGAGGATTCCATTTGCTGACTGGGGGAACCGAGAAGAGGCCGACTTGCTGCTGCACAGCGATGGCAATGATCGGAGGCAGTGCAACAATTGCTGTGTTGAGGATCAGTAGCCAAAGCACCCTGAAAAACATGTCAATGCCCTGAAGTGTCAGGCATGATTCACCGTAGCTGGACAGCATGAAACACAACACCACAGTGATGAGCATACCGGCCACGGCAAGCCAAGCAAGCCAATGTATATGCAAAGAGGCTGACACAGCTATGTCCCCGAGCCAAGCTGGAAGAGGCCATGATTCTGGCAAGAAGGCTGTCTTAAAATAGGCGAACTGATGCTCGTACTCCTGGTACCAGTGATGCTCCACTGTACGCCTCAGGTAGCCAGCATGCTCAGTGTTGAGCTTCGCCGCCGCAAGCATCTCTGCATTCCAGCCGTATTCGTTCACGGTCGTAAGCGGCTCCTGCATTGTTGTGTAGAGTCGAACCAGCTCCGGGAAATTGATGGCGGCTGCATCGTGGTCACTGCCATCCTCTGCTGCCAGCATCAGAACGGTCTTCCGATTGAAAAGGCCAGTGAATGTGAATGAGTCGGGGGCCTGTGCCCCAATCCACACAACTCCATCCATGTTATTGCCCCCACATGCAGGACTTTGGCGCAACTCGGCAATTCGATCCCAGCTGAGGTGGACCGCATCCCGCACCAAATCGTGCAGAATCGTCCTTGCGAAGGCATCTCGAACCATACTTCCGTAGCCATTGCCTGGGTGGACCACATGGCAGACCAGATCGCTGCTGCCCCAGAGAAAGCCGCTCTCAAGCAGAAGCCGAATGATTTGGATGCGATCTTCCAGGTCTCCACCATGTTGTTGCGCATGCTCGGCATCCCACGCCAGAAAGTTCATGAGGATCCGCTCGTTGGCGTGTCGCGTCATGTGCACAGCAAGCTCGAGGATGGTCAAGGAGAGTTTCTCCTTCTTGCCCGACTGAAGATGCCGGTCATAAAAGGGCTCTTCGTACACCACACGATGACGTGCCATGTAGTCCAAGTCGCTGCAGGACATCTCAGGATAAGCTCGGTCGCATGAGCTTGAGTTCACGTTGTGCAAGTACGCATCGCCAAGGTCACAAGCGGAAAGACCATCAAGAAGGTGTCGCAGCGCCGGAGCATTGCCAGCCACAATCAGCTTGCTCATCCTGCCCAGCACCCGGTCCAGCGCCGCAGAGTCCCGGTGATGCTTGCACTTTGCCAGGCCACCTTCCGGCTTTGGTGCTTCCACCTCTGGCTCCTTCACCTTCGTTATTGGCGGCTGTGTGACTGAGCTCGGCAAGGCCATCAGACTCACAGGCATCACCTGCGTCAACGGCGGCTCTGTAACTGGCGTAGGCAAGGCCCCCGCCGACTGGGGGCCAAGAGTCTCGGGCATCACGGATCTGTCGCTGAGCGCTGGAAGGCTCTCCAGCAAGATGCGCGAAGGAGCGGACAGGCCTGTACTTGTACTCTTCGAAATCGCCAGGCCCTTTCCGAAGGCCGCGCGCCACAGCAACAGACGGAGAGCGGCGAAGAGCCGAAGAGCCTCCCATTTCCCCAGCTTCAGCATGGTTAGCTTCATGGCCGGAAGGCACACCACGACTAGACGCTCGTCTCGGGCCGCCCAAATTTCTTGAGCCAAAAATGGCTACGGTGAGAGCTTTAGAAGGGTGGACTCCGGAAGCACGCGACTTGACGGCCTTCGGAGTCGCAGTTCTCGGGGAACGCAGCGGCCGTGGAGATGCAAAGGGCGATATCGAGCGGGGAGGCGCCATGGCGACCCTGCTCCGAGATGTTCTAACTAAGCATACCTGGGAGATTCTGCTATGAGCAAAAAAGTAGCTAGTAGGACTGCTCGCTGCTGCCACTACCAGTAGCCGTATTCCTGCAACACCAACTTACCTAGAATGCCCAGGCAGCGAGACTTGCTTGGCTCTGTTCAGTTTGGGGACTGGCCATGTGCTTCTTCGGGTCATGGGGAGCTCCAGGGACTGAATGCCATGGCGTGTCATGTACAAGCTGAGCCGCCGCACACCGCACACCTTCAAGAGGGGCCAAGTCAAAACACAAGAAGCATCCAGCCGCCTAGCCACGCTGGCCATCAAATCTAGCAGCAGATTCTCCATTTTGCACGAAATGTCACGTGCTTTTTTGCCGAGGCTTCCTCAGCGGTGCAATGAGACCTCAGCGGCACAACTGCCACCCAGATCCGTCGATGCAAGGTTGCTTGGGCCCGGGCGCTGGGCCACGTTCTCCTCGAAGGCTTCCTGTGAGAAGCGATCTCCTTAGCAAGCGCTGGCGAATCGGCACTGGCCATGTGCCGTCGCTGTCGCAGCCGAGGCTTCTACGGACTGCCTCTCGAGCAGCCTCAGCGATCTTGCGCCGATCGTCTGTACCTGTGATTTTTGCAAATTCACCTGGCGCCAGTGGAAAAAACAAACAAGCGACAGCTGCCGCACTTGTCTCGTCTAAAGCTTCGCGAAGTTTGCGAGCATAGTCCGCATCATCCTGGCGCGCCAGTCAGAAGCCGTTGTTCCAACATGGGTCCGACCCCACACTGTGATCCTTAGGAAAAAGCTGAGATGAGGCTTCCACGCTTGCGAGCATACCGGTTCGCCGTCCATCTGCCAGAGGTGTCACCTCGCAAGGCGTGTGCAGTTCCGCATCTGAATCAGGAAGCCAGAAAATCCGCACTTCTCAAGGGCGTTGCAATATCCATGGCAGGACCAGCAGAGTTATGAGCGATGACCTTGGCTGCTTGAATTTTGTGTCCACTGAACTGCTTCGACCATCTACGCAATGACCAAGTGACGAATGCAGAAAGCAAAACAAACATGCTTGACGACACGTCCTGTCAGCCTGAAGACATCCCTGGCATCTCTGGACACCGCCCGAAAACCAGCGGCTTAGACACTTACTAAATCACGAAATGTATCAGCATCACAGGCAAAAGGTGCAACCCGACTGTCCGGGTCCCTTCCCAACATGACATGGCATGATCCGGGACAAGGTTGTCTGGAGTAGGGCTCCTCGGATCTCAAAGCAGTGAGCCACACACAAATCTTGATGATTTCGCGATACGGACCATATGGCGGCAATATGCCGCAATCAATGTCAAACTATCATGTTTTGCGCAATTGCGGAGTTGGTTTGTTCGTGAGCATTAAATTGACCCTAAGTGTCGCTGTGGGCAGTGCTGCGCGCCATTCATAAATTCAACGCAGGCCCATCTACGGCCGAAAAATCACGTCGACGCATGTCGAGGTTTCGAGGCCGTGGCAACGGCGCCGGCAGCCATAAATTCCACCACCGAGATTCCGAAGTGCTCGTCACGCATGGTGTGAAGACCTCAACACAGCTCCGCACTCTCATCGAAGAGACCGAACACACAGGGCAGAGCTCGGGCGGTGACCCACATCCGCTTGAGACAACAGGCTTTGCATCTCCTGACGCAGCAGCGGCAGCAGGCAAGCTGAAGCCGCCGCAAATCGCCAGTCTGGAGGGACAAACTGTGCTCGCCATGTCAGTGGTCGCCCTTAGAAACGTGATGGTCGGTCGTCCTTCAAGGGCACATTGGTCCGGAAGCTGACCTCAGGTGCTACCAAACCATAAAACCCAAGCACCCCAAAAGCCTGCTGTGCCGTCGACAAACCAAGCCGCAGGCATCCCACTCTCGACCAGCGCCCTCCTTACCCTCCTCGTGCAACCCCAGCCTTAAATCATGCTCGAAAGGGCCAACACCATCACATCTACTCTATCAGACTCCATCTCCTACGGCCATCAATGAGGCTACCACTCGCCGCAGAGCTTCCGCAAGGCCTCGACCCGCCGGCGGTCGCCATCGTCTCGGCCTGCCCAAACCACGCTCTTTGCGCAAGGCCGCTGGGCCCACCAGGCTGGGAAGCTCCCCACAAGGTGAATATGGCATGCCAATGGCCCCTGAGCTCCTGACATCCTCCAGCCAGGATAAGCCGCACATCTGGACTTCCACTGCCTCGTGTTACGAAAGGGAACAGCGTGCCCCTCCTTACCACGTTCTCGATCCGTTTTTCCAAGAGCTCCCCGTGCACCGGACCCGTCTTCTCCTGTCTGTACTTGGCAAAGGACCGAAGCCTTATCCATGATTTGAGACTCTGGTGCTTCTGCAGCACGTCTCACTGTGCCACCGGCTGGAGAGCGTGGTTTTTTTCTGGTCGAAACCTGAGTCTTACAGTGAGCTTCCATCGCAACATTGGCTCTCATGTCAGAGCACCGGACTGGGCGAGGGAAAGCACCAGCTTGCCAGTGAAGTCCTTCACGGGACAGTGAAGCGAGGTGACCATGTCGGTTCCGGCACAACGGCGCAACCCAGATCACAGAACTAGCAGTATATGCGGTCTTCTTTGCAAGGAATCCTCTGGGTCCATGTACCACGGGAGGTGCCCCGCTTTTCCCAAAAAACACACCCTCCTTGGCTGCCCGTTCAAGAGGCAACCCTGCCAAGACTGCCTCGGTCTGCATGGCACACGTCCATAAACCCGATGTGTTTGGTGTTGCAATGGGGCAGAGGCTGTGTCGCAAGGCGGGTAGACTGTGCAAGTCCTGTCCGGCCTCGGCGAAATGTGTCGAGATCGAGCTGACAGCATGATGATCATCATGATGATCGGGATGCATCCTACGGCAGTTGTTTGCTTGATGCGAAACCTCTCCGATACTTGTCATGATCAGCCGATGGCCCCGGGAGAGATGGAAGGGAGTGTTGCTAGTAGGTTGCCTAGGGCACTGCGCAGGACCATCCTCCAAACGGTTTGCAGTCTCGATGTACCGACATGTCTGCACTGGCATATGCTTCCCACATCAACTTCTCACAAGCTGTGCCAGGCTTCAAGCACTGCCCACAAAGTGTCGATGTGGCCGCGAGTCCAAGAAGAGTTGACGAGGACCACCTGAGATTGAGCAGTGCTGGCGTCAGCATCTCTTGAACTCGTTGCCTTGAGGCCCTCGCGTCTGCAGATTTCCTAAGGGCACACGCGACATGTACAAAATATAGGTTCTGCCATCTAACAAGCTGTCCGATGCCAGCGAGTGGCCCGGCCATCCCATATAGCGTGGCAAACGCCTTGTAGTACAGCCTCTGCAGGGTGCACAGTCGACTTCTCCCGTCACCCTGCCTTCGCAGTGTTCGAAAGCAGGCCAGAGTCGCAGCTTCGCCGCGGAAAGTATGCTGGAGCGCGCGACCATGGCATCATTGCACACGGCATCACTTCCTTGGCATGGCTCCGTTGCACGTGTCGCTCAGGCAAGGGCAAGGGGCTTCGAGGACCCTGCTGCGGCCGCGAACCTGTGCAAGGCGCCACCATTCGTGTCATGCCTTGCACATGGACGCCAGAGCTCACCTGCTCCAACATGTCTGTCGAAATGGTGGGGTAGTGAACCTGAGCTGCAGTATGATTCACTTCGCTCGGAAGCATACAGCAGATACTGGACAAGAGCTCCTCTCTTGCGATTTGCAAGCAGGCCGCGTAGCATCCAACGCGGCAGCTGCCCAGCAAGCGAAACAACGGCAGCGTGAAGGCGTAGCCTGGCAAAGCTCGTGCTATCTCGTGCTCCAATTGTTGCAGAAACATAGCCAAACAGAAGCGGGAAGAGCAGATTGGAAGGACAGCTGCGGAACTGAACACGATCTGGCAAAGCATCTACATGCGAATGCTCCGGCCAGACAGAAAGCCTGAGATGCAAAGCCAAGCCAGGAGTGCCCATGGAGTCTATGTACACGTCTGGCTGGAATTGGCAGATTGCCTCCCAGCCTTAGTTCCACGAATTCCCAAGAGCTCAGGCCTTGGGTGCTACGAATCGCTAGCACGTGGCCGAGGACCAGCGAGCCCAAGCCTGGGAACCGGGATCCGGAAAAGAAGGGAAGAAGGGAGCAGGACTCAAAGCGCGAGCTCGCGATTTTTTTGCAAGCTGAGGTACTCTGTCCGATCAGCGTGAAGCGAGGCCTGGAGGCTCACTGAGCGGCACGTGTTCAGATACCATGCAAGTGCACATCACGCAGGCACTCGTGGGGAGTGTTGTCCCTACGATTATAAAAACCTGGTGTTGAGGGCAGATGCGTAGCTCTATGATTGGCAAAGCTTATGCTTCACCGACTGTACCCAAGGCCCGAGGAGGGAGTTTGTCGGGCGGGGTTTTAAGCTCAGTTCGCACAGCACAGCTCTCTCCCGTTGTCCGAAGCAACAAGCAGTGGGCAGACGTAAAGCGTAACGCCTTGCTGCCGTGTGTTTGCATTCTCTATCTTCTCAGAGATTTTGTTTGGGAATTCGTAGCATCTCCGCAGATAGGTGCAAAGCGATTCGGTTCAGAGCACCCAATCACATGTCTGGTTCTAGGTCTGAGGAAACAAAACTCAAGCGGGGGGATGCAGGTAGAATGCTGCAGCTGTGGTGCCCAGTGAAGTGTCATAAGTGTGATAATGAAGCGTGACAGCGCACGTGCGCGAGGAACGCACGGCCCATGGTCCCGACACTTCTTGTCGTGCAAAAGAAGAGGTGCCGTGAGGAACCGTGTGGCCGAAGGTGTTGAGAAATTTCAGAAGAACACGACTTCGCAGCTGTTAAAACCATAAACAGCTGTACTCAGGGCAGTACCATGAGGAAGCCTCAACCCAGTGCCTCTTGGTTAAGAAGACGAAATGGACACCTGACAGTAAAAACATGAAGGACGAGTGATTTTGGCCAAGACACGCGCAAATGTCAGTGCCTGCGGCATTGATAGTCAAGCCAAATCGTTGCTGTGCCTCGGCGGATGCATTGCCAACCAAGGTCAGGCACAGTAGCAGTCCTCGTCTCGCTTTGTGCCCTGTAAGTAGCCGACTTCTACTTGCTGGTCTTACTCGCTCCGTCTTATGGCAATCTATCATGATATCGCCACATGCACTCGGGCCGGGGCAGTCTCAAGCAACCCTGCGGCGGTCACATCCGTGTCCCCTGTGTACACCACGCAGGCCACCTAAACATCGGTTAGGGAGTTAGGGGAGGAAACACTCCAACGGGAATGATGCTGAGCATTCAGCACCTGGGTGGTTTTGCTGCACAGATCGTATGCAGCACCTCTGGCAGGAATTTGCTGTCTGACTTCACGTCACTGCCAAGAGCCTGGGATGCACACCACAGAACTCGCTCGCCGCCACCGCCGGCGTTTGCATAAGGATGGAAAAATGCCTGACACCCCAAAAAGGTTTTCCCTCTGCCATCCCAGGCCGGACAGCTTTCGAAAGAGCCACATGCAATCGAATAATGGGGGTCCAGCCACTGTTTCCTGCCCTCTCAACGCCTGGCCAAAGCACAACCTTGTTTATCACTGGCAAACACGATTGAGTGATTATGTCCCAGCACGAGTTGTTCGGCCTTGGTGACCTCAGAGTTTGCTGCCGACTGGGCAGCTCTGAACCTCAACCTGGGCTCTGCCACATGACCGAAAGCCCCAAGCCTGCATCCACCACCGCCAAAATGACTTTGCATCTTGAGCTTCAGGGATCGACAGGAGGATCAGCAAGAGGGGCGCCCCGATTAACAGCACTCCACCTTCAGAGCACCCCGGCCAATGCAAGAGCAATGAGATCAACACGCAGGATGCGGGCCCCCTTTTTCAATTTCTCAGCATCAGGCAGGCCAGCAGGAGTGTGCCGAGGTCCAGCATGGCGTGGGCTGCTTCACACAGAAACTACGACCATAGCTTGCAAATCAGTGCCAGCCGGCGCAGGCTAGAGTGATGTTGGATTGGCCCTGAAACCAATCTTGACGCGTTGTGCTCCGACAGCACCGGTTCCCTGGGCCTGCCACAGTTCAACCCAGTCTTGGTAGCCTTCTTCCTTGTTCTTCGAAACTCGTCGATCGTAGAGCTTCGGCTACGTGCCATGATGCAGCTGATCCGGGGCGGCTTGCAACACTCTATACAGGTGCCTGCAAACGAGATCGAACTCATGAGCCCGAGATCTTCATCAGCAATGCTTGGAGCCAGGGCAAAGGGGCGTGCATTCATCATCAGATTGTCAGAATTTCCCTAGGTCAGGCCGTGCCACCACATCCCCACAAGACCAAGCAGCAACTACAGCAACTGCCAGATTCGGAACTACTTGCCCTTCACACGAAGGCTTCAACAAAACCAGCTCTTGTGGCAGCTCCTACAGCGCCTGTTTCTAAGTCTAGTTTTGAGGCACGGATCTACAGCCATGCCTGACCCTCTACTGCAAATAGAAACCCTGAACCGACCAGAAGCGAAATCGACCTTTTTTCAGGCAGCCAGGCGTGCAAAGGGGTAGCTCCCAGAATCTCCCACGGTGACTCTGGGAGACCCTTGGCTCTAAGAGAAAGCCTCGTCGACGCGGCCTCAATTGGGAGAAGCCGCGCATCATCTCCATATATAGTCCAGTATAGTATAGTATAATATAGTATAGTATATTATTATAGTATAGTATAGTATGTTATTATAGTATAGTATAGTATAGTATAGTATAGTATAGTATAGTATAGTATGCAGGCATGGGCCGAACAGCCGAGCCAAGCACCAGGTCCCGTCACCGACACACGCACCTGGCCGAGAGGATCCCCTCAGAGCTCTTGCAAAACCACTGGAGGTCGTCGCAGGGGGAAGGGAGGAGGATTTTTGTTGCATCTGATGAGGGCATATGACGCGAGTTCCATTCTCACTTTTCGGCCTGGGGCTCCAGGAGAAGCCGCGAGTTTGGCCGGAAAGCTCCACCCGCAGCCCTTTCAAGTGCAAACCTCTTGAAGCCGCGGCGTCTGTTGCCGTTTGGGAGGGGCAAGGCTCCCAACACAGGTCTGCGCGACGTAGCGTCCTGAGCGCTCACCGGCCCGGATGCGCTCAATGCGCTGCCTCAGCTCTTGAAACAGAGAGAGTCGTCGCCCTGGCTCCGCAAAGAGATATCCGGGCTTCGAGGCGCAATCGTGCTCGCAGCAACCTCATCTCTCAGTCGATGAATCGACGAGCAGTATCGCAGAGGCCGGTCTCGTGAAGCTTCGCTGGGCATCCTGCTGTGGCGGATATGCACTGGGAGGACCTGGCATTGGCAAATGGATGTGGGCACAAGAGCGGTGGCCCATCATTCACTAAACGTGTCCGGGAGACGGGGGCTGGCCATCCTTGCAAGTTCGGAGAAAAACTGTGCGGCCAATCTGGACGCATATCGCACCTCCATCTCCACGAAGCCCTGGAATGCGAACAAAGACGGCTGGCCCATGAGGCTCTGGAGACCTCCACATCAAAAGCTTGCCTCCCGGAAACCTGTAACGTCCTTAGCTTTACCGGCCTGACAGACTGACGATGAGGAGCTGTGGACTTTCCGCAAGCCGGGCCTGGAACGCTTGGCTCGGCAGCAACACAGGAAGCAAGTTGATGCTTGCCTTTCCCAGCCCCAGCCGCTCAGCCGAGTTGACCCTGCCCATGGGTACGAGAGATTGGGCTAGTAGGGAGAAGGCATGCGGAACGAGACCCCCTCATGCGGGGCAGAGCATCAACTGTTTCTCCCGGTGCCCAGCGCCAACTTTGGCAAAATTTAGTGCACCACTGTGGGTGAACCTGAGCCCCTTGCAAGGTCAGACCTCCAGTAAGGTGGACACAAAAAGGCATCTAGACACAGGCCAGTTCCTGGCCCAGGTCCGCCTAGGTCCACGATCCGCGAGGGTTCTCACTTGCCTGGCACTTTCACGAAGCACGCGAAGAAAGCAGGAAAAAAATGTCTACCGCACCAGAGGACCGGCCTTGCATCCTGGCCCGTGCCGACTCACGCGCATGCTTCCGGTCCTGGGCCTTGTTCGCACGGATGGCGGTTGCAACCTGCAGAGGCTGAAATGTGCGCAAGTTGGCAGCAGGGAAGACAAGTAGACAAGGAGCACTATGATCCTAATACCGTTTATAGCGTGGAAGGAAGTACCAGACCCTCAGCTCTTCTGAACCTGGTGTACCAAGTGGCATCTTTCAGGAAGGCGGACTGCAGCAAGTTGTGGCCAGCCTGTCAGCACCGACCACAAGCGCCTCTATTGCTAAACCTCTCAGTCTGCACTGGAAGCTTCGGGAAGACCAGCTCACTTCGGAGCATTCGGCCTTGGGGAATTCGACGTTATCGACCTCCGCCAATGACAACTTCGGAGTGCTGTCCTGCACGGCACCCTTGCCCCCGGACAAACAATGCCGCGTCGTGCCGTCGCAAGCTCCATAATCCCCGACAGAAGCCCCGACAGCCGGTTGCGGTCCATATCAGCCTCCGGCTTTTTCTGCTTCTCCTCCGCGGTCAAAGTCCCTCGGGTGCTCATGTCTGATCCAGCTTTGAGGTGTCAACAACTTCCCAACTACTTCAGATCTGCAACACGCACACACACACAGAGCATGCTGCAGCACGATGCGGACTAAATGAATTCATGAAGACTCCCGGCGCCATTCAGGCAACAGCCACCGGATCGCAGACTCGGTAGCTCATCTGCAACAGAACAGGAAACAGGCAACAGCTCCAAGGGGCCGGAGGCACGCTGCATGCTGCTCTGCAACAACGAGAGGGACTTAGTTTTTTCAAAGGCCCCGAAAGGACCGCGGTGAACAGCTGCAGGCTCCGCACAAACAGGTCAGTCAAGCAGCGCACTCGGTGCAGTTCTCTTCAGTCTCGGTATGGAATTCCCCCTGGGCGAACATATGTGCCAGGCCAACATGTCCGGACCACAAGTGAGAATCACATAAATGACGGAATGCAACAAACAAAAGGGAGATTATCCTTTCTGGCCTGCACCAATGCCAGGCATAGTGTCACCTTGGACAACTTGGACTCGGCTCAGCACCACGATCCGTGACGATCGAAGTGGGCTAGTGCTAAGATGCACATGAGCCCACTGTTCTTGGGCCGAGACCCAAATGAATGGACGAAAGGCCAGCATGGAGTCAGCTTGGATGGTACCTGAGCTACTTTGCAATGCGCGCCGGCGACAGTCTGAACTATGCCCTCGACCAACGAAACCAGGACGAAGGAACGATAGGCAGCTGGATGAGCACACCGCTCAGAGATGAAAGCGTGTCTCTTTGGGCCGAAAAGTCGCCCAAGCCGAGGGACATCCGGCACTGCATGACAGGCACAAGCTGCTTCACAAGCTAGAACAGCACAAGGCCTGAAGCTGTGGATGAAGCAGTCGCACTCCGCAAGAGTCTGCTCCAAGACCTGTCGGGCTAGGCCACCGATTCGACGCAGCTGATGCAGCTATGCCAACGCAGAGCTTGTGCCTGCCGGGCCATGGGCAACTCCAGGTCCAGCGCCTGAGCCGCGCTCTGACCCGCTTGCGGCGATTCATCTCTGAGGCCTTTCTCCGAGGAAGCTGCCAAGGGCTGAGGTACCGAACTCCACCAACTGGAAGCCGCCCTTTGCATGACTTGCGTCTTACATTTGGACAGAGCACACCTTCTGAGCTCATCGCGTGTTCCCACGCCCTGGTGATGCTGAGAACTGCACCCGCTGCACTGCTGGGAAAGCTCTGCTTCACCTCCGCTTGCTACAGTCTTGCTTGTACGAGTAGATACAGTCTCAGTAGCAGCGATCGAAACAAGAGCCCGGCTCAATTTCCCTCCTGGCAAAGGGTCCAGCCTGAGGTGCTACACTCGTGGGCTATTGCTCCGGGAATCACGTGTCAGGTTTAGCGCTGGGATAAAAAAAAAAAAGCCCGTCAGCGTGGTAAGCACCGGGCTCAAGCTTCAAGACCTTTCACACTTGTTGCTTGATTAATCGAGTCAGCTGGCAAGTGCCCAACTCGCCGTAAAGTCCAATCTGTGCATGTTGCGGGAACTTGTGCGCGTGCTAACATCGTCCGCAGCAGTGATGGCATGCAAGAATCCGGAGACCTGCCTGAGCCCCGCAGGCAGCCAACGACGCTGCGGAAAAGGGACCTGCCGGCAGGCTGCACGCCTCAACCTCATCTCAGAGCACTGACGTTGCTGTGCACACAACTGTACTGAGGGGGACTAAGCCTCTCACGATTCGAACCTCAGCAGAGTTCACGGCTGCCGCCCCGGCCACTAAGTCCTCGCACATCTTGGGCTCCCACCCCCTCCAGTAGACGAGATTGTTGTTGCGAACCTTTCTGAGAGAAAGTTCGCCCTGGTCTAACGCCCCCAGAAGAACAGATGCAAAAGTCGGCCATCTGTGCCGCAATGCCTTCGTCTCTGCGCAACAAGGCGCTACAGCTTAGCTTCGAAGCATGGCTTGAGACTCAACTTGAGACCCTTGCCGACGCAGGGACTGTCTCCTACAGATTCTCAGACCACACGTCGCGCGCACCTTCCTGACGCCTCTCGGCTTCAGTTAATGCCACGGTCCGTGGCCCAGGACCTCATGACAGGCGCTCTGCCGGCCGAACTAAAACGGGCCTCACTGCACTGCGACCATCAGCTTCGCTGAGAAGAGTGACACACTGGGCACGTATGGGCACGTCATGCACATGCACGGGCTGCCAGAGGTCCCTGACAAGTTTCTGAGGAAAACTTGTGATGACATGCCACAATCCGCACATGGAAGATGCTAAGAAATGTTGTCGCTGCACGTGGCTGACTTGTGAAGGGACCACCGCAGCACTCTTTGGCAGCATGCGCTGCGCCGGAACATTAGCTTTAGCATCGCACACATCGCATGATCCAATGTTGACGGACCTTCCTGTGGACTTAGTTTCCTCTTTGCGGTCATCCTTACCGTGGAAAGCCGCACTCAGGCTTGGAACGTGTCACCTGTCCTCAGTTGGGCTGAGGTTCAGCTTGTCTGCTTCGACCCGTTCCCCGTGACACTCACAGGCGACACCGTTTGCGCGTTTCAGGCTTTGAGGCGGCGGGTATCGACAAGGCTTGTGGGTCCAGCTAATGAATAGACCTGACCAGGCTTCCAGGCCGGGGCCCGAAGTCTGCAAGGATTGCAGCCGTCGGATGCTCCCCGGCTCGAGCAACCCAGTCCCATGCAGGCAAGGGCAAAGCCTGACTCGATGAATCTGCTCTGAGCTGCGCTGTAGAGAGCGCTCGCAGCGCTTCCCTGATGCGCGTGTGCTCCTCCGTGCCACTCTCCAAGCCCTGGGTTGCAAGACAAGCAACCGGAGGCACGCTCACCGTCTCACAACGAAATTACCGAGCAGCTTCCAATGACATTCGGACAAGGTGCAGACAGGACGACAGCATACTTTTTCATCAGCCTTAGCGGCGAGCACCGTCGAAACTGGAAGATACTGGAAGCACATCACAGCAGAAGTCAGCGTACATCTGCAACTATTCGAAAGCAAGACCAGCAGGGTCTTACGAGAGGCTTCGCTCAGGCAAGTTGCTCAACCTTCCGATTCGCTGTTGCTGCTTCTTGCATGGCAGATGCCAGGGCATTCTCCTTACTCGACAGGCCATGGAACCAGTTGAGTCTGTTTGCCTCTGCTTCCATTACCTATTACTTACAAGGTGGTGAGCACAAACACAGCGTGGCAGCATGGCACAGCGTAGCACAGGCCCGTCGCCGGCTCCAAGGACCGAACGACCCAAGGTTCTCGAGTGGCCCCCTTCACCTCCGCAAGCTGGCAGGGCGAGGATACGCCAACAAAACATGTTAAGAGCTTCGACCTGCTTCGACAAAAAGACTCATTCAGAAGATGCAACGTAAAATAGCCTTAACCGCAGGCTCTTTAGCGCCCGCTTCCTCTTTGTCTGAGTCTTCATCATCTTCGTCACCTGGCACATTTAGGCTTCCGTTGCTTGGCCAGGCATTGCACGAAGGAGGCAGGAGGTGATGTGACAATGACCGTCTACGTGACTAGCTGTCGATTTTTTTGTCATGTTTGCGTCGACTCCCCGAATGTAGATGGCTCTACATTGGCAATTGGAGTAGCAGCGAGGACAACACGTCAGATGCATATAGAAGCCAGGAGGGCCCTTTTCACCCTCGACTGCGACGTTCTCCAGCGGCTTCTGTCCTTTCGATTTCAGAAGTTCTCGAACCTTCTTCTCCTGAAAGAGTGTGTCGTTGCTGCATCAAGTATAGTCCACGAACCCTCTCCTGGCACATCCTGGCACCCGGCCTGCTCCAGCACATGCTTTCTGAACCTTGCCATCAGACCGGTCTCAGGTTTTTACAACGCCTGTCGAACCATACCATCGCAAGGACTTTGTTTGTGTGAGTGTGGGTGCATACAACTTGCCAGGGTCTGCCGTCGCAACCGAAAACTATGCTCGTCCTAGGGTGCCTCGAGCACGGGCAAAGACTAGAGGTAAAGTCGTCTTGGCGAGGAAGGTTGGAATATCTGTTAAATATACCTGCTCCGCATGGGCCTCACCAAGTCTAAGAGGTTCAATAGGCTTGATGCCATCGTTCGAGAATCGTGGCAGTAAGGAAGGTCGTCATGTGCCTGTTCCTTGGGGTGATGTCTCTCCAAAACCGTGACCAGGCTCTACACCCCGATTACCTCAGACAGGTGCTTTAGCCAGTACTTAAGTTCAACTAATCTCCGTCACTGTCCGACCGAGATGCTTGCGCAGCGCCGGGAAGCCTCAGTTTGAAACTGACGCAGCTTCCCTGTGAGCCTAGGGTATGGAAGGTCGATTGGCTCGACAGGCCGGGACCTGTTTGCAGGAGGCCGTTTCGTCATTGCGAGTCGATCGCGAGACTTCACCGTAGGTGCCGCACCCTATGGCTGGAGACAGGCCATGCAAGCGCAAGGTTAGGACATGCGAATTCGATTTAACAACGGATTTGTCCACCTACCTGACATGTTGCACCACCAACTAACTAGCAACACGGGCAACCTGATCTGATCTGCAAACAAGCGACGTAAAAGAATCAGCAGCAGCATGCTGCGTGTTGATGTCCAGTGCTTCCCAGCCTGCACTTTCAAGTATCCCCCGTCCCTGCCCCGATATCCTGCATAGCGCAACCCTTGGAGCAAGGCACTTGGCATCATCACAGCATCTGGACAAGATTCCTGCCACACAGCTAAACTCCACCTGTGTGTGCTTCTCCCGTGCATCTTTCAGGGCCAGCATGCGGTTGGCCGCAGTGATCATGATTGGGTTGTTGTGGCAGGCAACCAACCTTAAGCTGCTTTCCATGCAAAGCTGAAATACAGAATCGCATTCCACTCTCCCATTGTAGCACGATGCATGCACCAACGAAAGCAAGCTTCATCACGTAGCCACAATAGGTGCGGTAGGACCTTGGCACCGGGGTTGTATAGGCTGTACTAATATGCTTTATCGGCCTCCCTCTGGCTAGGAAACGGACTGCACTGCGCTCCAATCACGCGCCCTGCAGCTTTGCGCACATGACCCACCGAGCCAGCGGCGTGTCAAGGAGCATCCAGTTATTCACGAAATCCGGAGTGTTCGCCCCGTAGGTTATCGGAAGCATCACAAGAACAGCAAGCAGACCTGGACTGCACGCGGCCACTACACAACACTACACAAAGGCCGACATCAAAGTGAGTGCTTTCCAAAACCAAGCCGTCGAGCTTGCGACGATGCCATCCGCTTTTGCGACCACATTGGCACTTCAGCCAAGAGTCCGTAGACAAAGCGCATGATGGCATTCACTACACCTGCATGGGAGTTTGCAGGCCTCAAGTCTCCCGCAACAGACGCCATTCTACTTAAGCCTGTCTTCTTTCTGTCCCCGCAATGCTTGTGCATGTGCCTCCCGGCAAGGACAAGAAGGTCATGTAAAAGTGGTAGATTGATACTCCTGCACAACGGGAGTATGTTATCGCAGCTATTGAAAGGCTCAACACTACGCTGACATGAAATGATCTCTGCTTCCACCATGGAAGCCTCTAGTTCGCTCCTGCGCGCGTCTTGATGAAAGTTGGCCCGAACAAGCATTTCTTGAAGAGCTTCATGCTCACAAACGATATGATCTTCGGAATGACGAAAGTTGTAATAATCATGGGCACGTTCCTCCAGATCACGTTCCAGGTGAGCGAGAAACAGAAGGGCAGCAAGATAAGTGTGACCACAGCGACGATCAGAATATAGGAGACTATGGAAGCTGAGATGTTGATGCCGATGTAGCCGGTGGCGAAAACCACTTTGGCATTCTTTTTCTTGAAGTTGAACTTGCCGAGTCTTGCATCCATCACTGACTGCCGGAAATGTACGAAGTGACCCAGTATCGCGCAAAGAGTCAGGATTGCGGCCACCACAATCCCTCCAGGGCTACAGACAGCACCCTCTGGTGACAAGTTGCGATGCCAAGCAAAATCAAAGCATGCATACAGCACTCATACAGCCGACGTCGAGGCAAGGTCTAGGGCACTCCCTGTATCGCCCGTAGAGAATTGAATGATTGTGAAATCAACACCCGTAAGACCGATCTGCGTCCGAAGCTTGCTCACACCAGACCCAGCAGATGTACGTACATCTGGGGCGAGCCTGAGATATAGTGCACATGTATGTACAAATATGCCATAATGTGATAGTAAATTGTATACATCAACTACCTGCACAAAAGCGTCCATACACTTTTTTTTACCTACCTACAACATACATACCTAACTACATACATAGATACGTACATACATAAATACATACATAGAGACACACATACCTCCATCAAATCCATCCATCCATACATTTTAGCACTCGCACTCGTCGCAGCAGGCGAGGTTTCGGGGCAACTTGTGGCACGTCAAGCTCTGCAACCCGATTCTCTTAGGAGACCTCAGGCAACAGAACAACACCGCTGACATGCATCCATGCGTGCATGCATACATA